TAGAAGTGTTTCATAATGTTATCAAGTTGAGTGCCTGGTCTGCTCGCGTGTATAAGTCAGTTTCCCTTAGAAAGTCATCCACAAAGGCATCCCTGCCCTTATGCAGATAGCCCGAGTGTGCTTTGCCATAACTAAATAAACCAACCATAAACCAAACCCTGGTCTGCCGTAGCTCGTAGAAAACTTGCTCTGATCCGTAATCATCGTACGTAACTGTATCGTACGTTTCAGAAACAATATTGAATTCGAAATAGATTTTTTATAAAAATGTATGCTTTTTTATAAAATATTTAAATTTCTAGAATTTTACCGGAATTCTTCTCTGAATCGAACTACTGCTATTCAACAAAAAATCTTATCTATTGGGTTAGTGCTGAGCCAAAATTTTATTCTTTTTGCGGGTATATTGTAATTCTAAATACCACTCTATTATAACGACAATTATAGCTGCATGAACTGTACCAAGCAATTCAGTGAATTACCAACTTTGTGCACTTAGTAAGACATAGCTTAAATTTTAAAGATGTCTTATACTTTGCTAAATGACAGTATTCTGAGAAACTGCTACGCATGAGGGGTCTTGACTTTTGCATACTGGCAGCACTTGCTGTGACCTTCAAGAAGGTCACGTACTTGCCTAGGGTTGTTTCTAGATTTCCAAGACAGGAACGTAACTACAGATATTACGTTTCGACAGCATTATTATATCATAAGTAATTCATCTAACCTCAAAGTGTAAATAACCGAGAAAACTAATAAATTTAATTTTAATAACATTATATGTCTAGTTAATTGCAGCGTTAATGTAATTGTAATTATAAATCGTGAAATTACAATTCCTTTGTAATTAACTGAAGTTACATTTTAATTGAATTAACTGACCTAAAATGACGTTATAATTCTATGTATTATATACAGTTACACTGTAATTGCAGCAGCAGTTATTTTGTAACAATAAGCATAATTATTAATTTAGAATTCAGACAACAAAAATCAGCGTTATATTTCAAAATTTTCAAAGGACTAGTTTCGATGTTTATACTGAACCATCATCCTCAGCTGCCAAACCGTAAATGAACGAGGTAAGATAATTAATGCTGCACAAGAGTTAAGCTACTGGCGCCATCTATTGATGAAATGAGAACTTACAAATGAGACTACTAAAACATAATTTCCTTAAAGGCTGAAGGCAAAGCAAGATGGATTGGAATTAGGGTCGTTTAACTAGAACAGAAAGATATTTTTGAATGCGAAACGCGCCTCTAGAAATCTAATAATTCACCAATGGAAGATGTTTTTTGTTTTTTTGAATAATTTTGGCTGCCAAGCAATAGAAAATTGCAATGCTGGGCAATAGAGGGACTTCTGTGTTTCCTTTTATTCTAACGTATACCTCATATTCCTTAACGCGAAATTTTAAGGCTTTCTTAGTTTGACCAATGTAAATTAAACCATATTGTCAAGGAATCGTGTAAATCCCCAGGAATTCCTAGCTAAAACTGGGTACTCAATGGTATGGTTAAACTTGATTTATGGAATGCTCCGAAATTTTATTTATTTTGAATTATTTTTTGAATATTAAATTGATACTTATTCGGCGTGTTATTTTATCTTAATTACAAAATATATTAATTCAGTTACAATGGAATTGCAGTTATGTTGCAGTTGAAACGCATTGTAATTAAATTAATTATACTTGCAATTACACTGTAATTACACAATATAATTATTATTATACATAATGATTTATTGTACAGAATATAATCAGTTACGCTACAACCGATTACTACCCAAATCTGTTCTTGAAGTATTGAAGTATTAACTGTCACACTGTTGTCGGCTTTTTTTAGCAATGAAAATTTATTGATATTATCTTTATTTTTTCATTTCCATTATTAAACACTAAGGAAGTTGTACGTTTGTAGGTATGTTCTTCGCGTTGTGAGAAAATGAAAAAATAATAATAATAATAATAATAATAAAAATAAGCGCTTAGAAGTTACCGAATTTGTTTTTCATTCGTTCCTTATTTTGTGCGACTTTAAATGAAATTTTGATTAAGAAAAATCAATGGTTTAAAAGCAACACATTGCCACCGCAAAGAGTAAATTATTTATGTATCAAATTTAACCAGAAAACAGTACTTTAAAAGAAATGTGTTTACCGCTTTCCAAAATAAAATTATTTTATCCTCCACGCATCAGTGTGCTGCTATTTGGCAAAACACTATTTTTCATTCAAATTTAATCTATTGATAAGATACTTATTTGTAAATTCTTTTTGCGTCTCATCCTGCGGTGTGCGTTTCCAGTCTGAGCGTTTTCTTGCAAAAGAAACAGAAAAAGTTAGCAAATTACCCACAGCTGCGTTTTGCGGCAAATTGCAAGCTCTTTATGGTACGTTTGTAACAAGTGAATTCCCGAAGAATAAAAGATCGTCCAGTTGCGAATGTACTACTGTCACTTAACCATGAAATTTTATGATAAATTAGAGAAAATTACTAACTCAGAAATGAAAATTTGTAGGTACGACTACTAAAGTTCTGTAAACAGTAGGAAGCCGAAAGCCATTATTAATCTCCCAACAATTGTTTAACATATCTGTTCATGTTCTATATTTTTATTATTTTGTGCTTTTAATCTATAGCATTTTAATTAACTGCTAACACCGTTTGATCGCATTGTCTAACCACTACTCACTAGTTCGACCATCTTCTATTGAAAAACATTGTTATGAAATTTGTGCAACCGCTTGAGCAAAGAACGTCTATGTACATACATATTCTTTGGCTTGAGAGTCCTGAGGCACCCCCAGCTGTTTAACGTCATTTTCACCATTTACTAATCCTTAGTCCCTAGAGCAAAGAACATAAACAAGAGTTCAAATTCTTTGCTTTATGTGCTTTGCCCCATTCAAATTCTTAGGTGGAAAGAATACAAGGTGGAAAGAGTCTAATCTTGAAGTCTTGTTAATATTGCAGTAGTAGTTCATGAAGTTAAATAATACCGTTTCCTGGTAACGGTTCAGGAAAAAATAGATAAGCCTCGTATCGCCTTTCTGTGCAAGAAGAGGCCTGACTCACTGTGAAATTATGGTTAAATTTCGCCAAATTTTCATTCAAAAATTTCGTTAATACTTATTTTAAAATTACAGAAGATACCAGAATTTATGCATTAGAATTTATGCATTAGAATTTATGCATCTGTAACTAGTAATTGTTTGTAAGAAATATTAGGCAGACAAACCGTTAAAGAGAACTGTTTGCTAATTATACGACTGTTTAGGGAAATGCTTTATATATATATTTTCTTTTCCTTCTCATCTTCTCATTTCAAGCACTTTTTTTTTTTTTGTTTTGTTTTGTTGTTGTTGTTTGTTTCCCTTTTTTGAAATTAGCAATAAATTAAATTAAATTTTGCATTAAAAAACGATAAAGGTCACCCAGAGAAAAAATTAATGCTATTTTTTCTCTACAACAATTATAAAAATTATAATCATCTTAAGTCTTATTTTTAAACATGAACTTAGCCATTTTGTAAAACAGTCTTTGTTTTAAGAAAATTATTGGCGTAATTTCCTTGTTTTTGATGCCGTATATTGTCATATTCTTGATGATATTTCTTGTGAAATGTGAACTTATGAGCTTAGCCATTTTGTAAAAAAGTCTTTGTTTTAAGAAAATTGTTGGTGTGTAAATTCCTTGTTTTTGATGTCATATGTTGTTATGCTGTTGATGATGTTCTTGTTCCGCCCATCTTATTGGCATTCTTAAAGTCTTGAGGAAAAGCATAACGTGAATTTAATTCTATTATTTATTTTCTCTGATAACTGAATTACATACACAAACACAGACAAACGCACACAAATATATTCACACGTATACATGCATATTGTTTATAATAATTCTATGAGATTTAACATGTCGTCCATATAAGAAAATGTAAATTATTAGTCCAAAGGGGCTTTGTCCCTGAAGGACTATTTTCGTTTTGCGATTTTGCGTTGAATCCCTATAAATGTCCGTTTCACTTTTCAAACTGTTGCCACCAAATGTTAGAGTACTGCATTATATTTGATGTGTATTTATTTATGGCAAAGCACACTAGGGCTATCTGCCTAAGAGGAGGGATGCCTTTCGTGGAGGACTTTCTAAGGGAAACTGGCTCGTATACACGTTACACATGGGGAAAAACACGAAAACACCCATGCAGCCAGCCCGTTCGCGGGATTCGAACCTCGGACCGAACTACCAGTGTTCAGCGACTTTACCGCTCGGCCGCTGGTGGGCGCATTATATTTGAAGAAATTAAATAATGAAAAATCTGCATAAATGTTGCTTAATGTTGCGCAAAGTTTTATTGCAGTCTGAGAAATGAATTATTTTCGGGCAGATAATCCAAAAATCAATTTGCTGTGTCATTTTTCTTAGTTAACTTGAATTACCAAAGAGGTAGACTTTACAATCAAATTTACTAACAATAAGATAATTTGAGACCCAAAATTACGGAAATGGTAAAAGTGCTTAAAATCTTTTAATGCAAAAATTGAAAAATCTAGTAAAAAGTAACTTAAATTTCCAAAAATTAAATTTCAGTTTAGTTTAAATTTTAGAAAGAAATAACCTAATTATTAAAGCAAAATAATGAAATAAAATTGCTGCTGGTAGTACTAAGCACCAGCAGAACAGGAAAACAAAAAATGTTGAAAATCAAAATAAAAGGTGAAAATTAAAGTGCAGTCTAGTGGGTATAACATGAAATTTCAAAACTTCAGTTTTGTAAATTGTCATCCTCTTCAGATATTATAGATAGCCTCTGACTAATTGTATCAAATTTTTAAAAAAACGTCTGTATAATCAACAACAAGGGGATTTATGCCGTTAAAGTATAAAGTTATATAGTCAATTTTTCTTAGGGTTCTTCTCACAGAAAAATAGAATAACCATAAAATAAATAATAGGTATAGTAGTGCTTTATTAATGTTGCTGTTGTTTCTTCCAGATGAACTGCTCAAGGTACCTCTCAACGTTGCTATTGGTATTATTCTTTGCTATAGCCCTCTGCACAGGTAAGATTCATAGCCTTTACCCTGCAATGCAAATAAAAAAAAAAAAAAAAAAAAAAAAAAAAAAAAAAAATAAAAAAAAAAAAAAAAAAAAAAAAAACAAAAAAAAAAAAAAAAAAAAAAAAAAAAAAAAAAAAAACATTGTTAAAAATAACAATATAGTAAGCTTCGTCGCATTACGGATGTTCAGTTATAATTTCTGCCAATAAACTTTCATTGTTATATCAGTAATTCTTATGTTATTTTTCTAACATTGCATACTTTTTGCGTTTAAGAATGAAAATATTACTAACTTTTACAACATTTTTAATCTCACAGTTGTTTGAGAAATGTACTAAATGACAGATAATGTTTATTTAATATTTCATTTTATTTATAGTTCTCTCTTTACTTTTTCATGCTGCCTTTAGTTTACATATTTTTCTCCCCAGATGGCTGAATTTTTATGGAATCTCTTGTTTCTGCTCAAGTAAAAAGTGACATATATAAGTATATAGGACTTGAAGATTCGAATCCCCGAGAAAGAATTGATCGCTTCTATTGTCTTTGGGTTTATGTGTTGTTGTTGTGACTTATCTCACTTGTCCGACAGTAACCTCAGAGCAAGCACACGAATTCCATCTTGGCAATCAGTGCAAAATTGCGCCTGTCGTTGGCAAGAGCCTTGAGAATCATACAGACGGCAGTACAACTTCGATGAATTCCGCCTCAATTTTGATGGAGAGCATTCCAGGGAACGGGTCTGAGAGTCTCTCACTGCTCTTTCCCTACCACCAGCCTCTCAAGAGGGGTTTCAGCTCGCCATGTATTAAGAGTTCCCTCATGCCGCAAATACACTATACATTTAGAAAAATCCATTTCTTCTCCGGGATTCGAACCGGTACCGCAATAGACCTCCCTAACCACTATACCGTCTGGGTGGGTTTCCGGCTTATACCATAAGCCGGAAAGCCACCCAGACGGTATAGTGCTACTACCTAAGTGCAAGTTAGTTTCCTTTAGAAATTCTTGCTTCATTCCGCTTAGCAGGCAACGATCGTGTACTTTAGCAAATTCAAACAAACAGATACTAAACTTTAAGAATTGATTTCATTTTTTCAATTATTATGACTGATATTTTTTATGTTCCTTAATTTTTTTCAGGGCTTTATTATTATTCTTAATCCAATAACATTCACGAGCATAAATGTAAAACATAGTCTTTTTTTAAAAAAAGATTACCTTAAATTAGCATTATTTTACTTTTCTGTACAATTATAAGGGCGGAAATTATGAGATTCTTTTGCATTTACATTTATCTCCTTTTCCTGTATTTTAAGATTAAATATTTTAAATGAAGAGCAATTTTCTCCTGACATTCTTATTACTTTTAAATTGAAGACTAGATAAGATATCTCATGAAATCTGGGAATATGTAATGAACGTTTAATGAATTTTTATAAAAAATCTAATTATTCAGAATATATTTGGACAAAAAATGAATTGTAGGAAATAGTTTATCACTTTTACTTTTCAATGAAGTTGTTAAAAATTGTTATATTTAAAAAAAGAATTCTTATATTTATTATATATCTCACTCAAAAATTCTTTTATTTATTATGTAACTTGTAATTTTAATTTCAGATGAAAATCCAGAATTGAGCTTACTGGGACACTCTAACATCCTGCTAAGCTCTGCTATAGCTAAACATCAACTGAATGAGCAAGGTAAAATCCTTGTAGTATCTAAAAATTATTGCTCAATTAATTGCATTTTTTATTTTCAGCTATTTTTCCTTGTCCCATAATTTTAAATTATCTGGAAAGATTCGATGCAAAACTTTCTATATACGTTTCTGCTACGTATCCGAAAATTTTAAGAAATCCGTTTACTTGCACTAATTAGCAAAATAGCTCACATTGTAAGAGCTGTTGATCTGTTGTAATGTAAACTAGCGTTTGAAACTAATGTCTGAATTCTAGCCACCAGCGACCGAGCGGTAAAGTCCCTGAACACTGGTAGTTCGGTCCGAGGTTCGAATCCCGCAAACAGGCTGGCTGCATGGGCGTTTTTGGGGTTTTTCCCATGTGTATGTGAGCCAGTTTCCCTTAGAATGTCGTCCATGAAGGCATAACTCCCTTTAGACAGATAGCCCTCGTGGACTTTGCCATAATTGAATAATCCAATCCATCTACATTAAGGTGAAGAAAATGTGAATTTTTTTTAACTTAATTGAAACCTTGTTGAGTTTAACTTTAAATCTAACAAAACTTAAGCTCAGCGATAAGAGAAGTAAGAGAATACTGACTTCCTGTAGCGTAAAAGATTTTCTCTTATCAAACTTACATCAGAATCTTGGCTTAAGAATAAATTTATTTCGTTGAAATCAGCAAATATTTAATGTTTAAAACAAATACTTTTTGTCAAGTAATCTTGAAAATTATTATCTTCTTTTAAGATTTCATTCCGCTAATATTTAAATCTATCATTAGCGCCATGGATTTCATTTGAGAATAGACTAAAGATAATAAGAATTTTAATAAAATTTAAGCCCACCAGCGGCCGAGCGGTAAAGACGCTGAACACTGGTAGTTTCGGTCTGAGGTTCGAATCCCGCGAACGGGCTGGCTGCATGGGCGTTTCGTGGTTTTCCCCATGTGTAACGTGTATACGAGCCAGTTTCCCTTAGAAAGTCCTCCACGAAAGGCATCCCTCCCTTTAGGCAGATAGCCCTCGTGTGCTTTGCCATAATTAAATACACCAACACCTTAATAAAATTTAATAAATTTATAAAAAGAAATCGCAAATCGTATTTAATATTTGCTAAAGTTATCTGTAGTTCTTATGCAGTACTTAATCGAAATGTTTTAGTGGATATGCTTTTGTCATTTTACGTGGTGGTAAAATGCAAACTTAATTATCAGTATCTAAATAATTTTAATCAATGATGTGAAAAGCAAAAAAATGATCTTACAAAAGTTGCGGTGCCCTTTTCACAAAGTGTTTCTCGTGAACTGCTGCAGTTGAGGTTTGGTTTTAGTGCTTATTAAATTAAAGCAATGTTTTAACGCATGAGAGAATCTTTGGGGTGAAGATTTGCGTACAGATGTGAAAGTCATAAAGTAGTTGAATGCTTCAATGATAATAACTTCTATCTTCAGGAAACAATTTAAAGACTGAAGCATTTTCTAAGAAGCGAAACTATGTCATAGAAGAGAGAGAAATACTTGTCAAGGTCAATTTTTATCGTAACTTTTTGTAATAAGAACATGCTTACTAAAAAACTGAGTTTATAGCTTGCAATTATCACTTAAACTTTTATGTCTCTGCAAAGAATACACAGAAGTCTTAACGTTAAAGGTCTCTCGGCAAAAAAAGATCGCTGAATTGGTAATATCGAAGTTTTAATTCCCAAAAATCGGTTTAGATTTTACTTCAGAAAATAGACTATGTTTAGTAAAGTGTTTGATTCTACACATATTAAGTTGTCTTCCCGCATTATTAATACATGATAACAATTGTTATTTGAAGTTTATCAATGTGCAAGGTCAGAGATTTGATCAGTGCATCTGTAGCAATTACATGCATGCAATTTAGAAGTATTGAAACAGATTAGTTCGAGAAACGATCTTTGAATAAATTCCTTTTTAATGTGTTTGGCCATTTTCCAAGCTGATATTTGTTTTTCCATGGTGCTACATTTGAAGATACCATATTTTCTTTGATGTAAGTTTGTAGAATTTTACGCTGTGTAACGCTTAATATATTTATATACATTACTACGTAACACTTATAAGGTATTTCTCTCACCTTCTTGGCATGCCTTCGTGGTGTGGTGATCTGCACGCTGGACGCGTATTCCAGAGGTCCGTGCTTCGAACTCCGGCGAAGGCGTTGCTGATTTCTCATTTCCTCTGCTTCAAAAAACAAAAACAAAAAAAAAAAAAAAAAAAAAAAAAAAACCCTAATGTTTCTACACACTTAATTTTCTCATATACATACTTATACACATAATCACATAATGTGTATAAGACATTTCATATGCTGCTAACGGAATATACAGTTCATATGCTACTAATTGTAACTGTCACTCTTTTTTTTTTTTTTTTTTTTTTTTTTTTTTTTTAGTGTATAACATTCTTACGTCTAATTTATTGAATTTGCCTAGGATGCTAGAAGTTCGAAGGTGAAACTTACTATCACAGTATATAAATAAAACGTGTTCTTACCTTGAAAGGTGATTCAATGCTAAAAAGCAACTGTTGCATCAGAAATATGGGGCCAATCCCTTATTCCTTTTAATGCTATAAATCAGTACAAATGTTAAAAGAGCTTATAAGGTATTTTCTCGCTCCTTTCTGCATGCCTTTGTGGTATAAAGGTAGCACACTGGACGCGTATTTCAAGAGGTCCAGGTTCGAGTCCATTGCTCATTTTTCGCGTCTCCCATAATCAAAAATCCAATAACTCTACAGTGGCTCCCGAAATAAAGTTGGTTGACAATGCTTCGTCACCATCAGGATTTGGCGACTGGATCCCCTCATCCCCAGTCGCTCTTTAAAAGGGGAATTATATATGGTTATGTATTTTTGCTGTAGAATTCTTTCTCTATGTGACACTTTGAGGTATCTTTTATATAAGGCGATATGCCATCAGCCACACCGAAGGCGTTTCGATTTATCTTCTTTTTTTCGATTTCCTTCGATAGTTAACTAATTCTTTTAAAATAAAAAGAGACTATGGTCATAAAAAAGACAATTTCAAATTTTAGGCTATGATTCTGAATTCCTTTATGGGATACTAATTATTTTCATTTCGTATTTCAGCCTGGGAAAACAATGTTCATTTCATAAGTAATTATGTTAAAAATGTTTTTCCCCACTTTTCCTTTTTCTTTCTCCATACAGTACGGAAATGGGATTTATACATCCTTTATTTCTATTTCAAGATGTGAAAAATTCTATACAGAGATATGAACTAAAGTGTAAAATGTCTTGTATTACATACTTATTATAGCCATAAGATCCCTTCTAACCAGGCAAAGAACTGCATCCCAATATGGCAAGGACTGAAAAAAAAAAAAAAAAAAAGTAAATAAATCGGCCAATGTCTCATAGAGGGATACTGACTACTGACCATGTTATTGGAACAGCTGGCTGTAACTGCATACTTGTCGTAAAGGCTCGAAGCTCTATTAGATCTTTCGATTATAATTATTCTCCACAGTACATATTTCTCAAAGAAAGGTATCTTATTCGTCAAAAATCACCAATTGCTGGTGAAAATAATTTTGAACAATATTCGTGTATGGCATAGAAAATTTTCATCTTGGACAATCACTTAGTTCTTGAAGTCTCTGAAGTGAAGAGCGTCCTGGCAACTCCCATTAAGTCTTCTGCTGGCATATTCCATTGAAACTAAAGTATTAGAGAATACTAAATGTTGAATGTTCCATTTATCAGACTCTAGATAACAATCCGCGTCCACAATCTCATAATTTACGTCAATAATCGCATTGGCAAGGCTCAAGGCTCAAGAGATTATAGCTGACAACTGATAATGCTTTTGATAGTTATTCAAATCTGTACCCGAAAAAAGTGCCATGTAAAAACCTTCATGTTGCTTTCCCATAAATTTTGCATTAGACTTATCTCAGTCTTTTGAGGCATCTTATATCTTAATTCAGGTATTTTATAGTGCATAGCTGTGAAAATCAGTAACAGTCGAAAATTTAGTATACTAAAGGCGATGGTTAGCTACGCCATTTTTTTTAAAAAAAAATTGTTCATGTTAAAAGAAATAACTGGCGCTCTGTTTTTACTTACTTATTTATTTTTTTATTTATTTGAAGACTACTTGATTTCAGAGATAATTATCATCCTGCTGCACAGCAGATGTTATCTATTTGAAGATTTCAACTGGTGTTATTTGTTTGAAATTTTTCCCAAAATAATAAATAATTACTATTTCAGTTTCCTCTGTTCTTATTTCCTATGTTTTTCTGAAGTGCTGAATATTCTATAATATATAATAACCAGTCTTCGTATAAAACTTTGATTATTACTGATGAAGGAATTCAAAAATAAATGAAATAATAGGAATTAAAACTTTCATGTAAAAACATATGACCTGAAAATCATTAATATGTTCTTGTAATTTTTGTTTCAGAAGCAAATTTGAAACCCCAACTTCATGGACACTTTAATATTACGAACAATTCTGTAACTATCTTTAATGGAATGATTGAAAAAGGTATAGTATTCATGACTTCTGATAATTAGTGCTGTTAACTTCTTCATACTTCGCAGCTACCAACTCTTTCGGTCTCGAGGTAGATCCCGAATTTCCCGGCCTTTAATTTTTAACATTTTCTAACGAAGATGTTTAACAGAAATAAATTAAATTTGTTTAATTAACGAAACTTAAATTGGACAGAATCTCTTTGCTTTCCTTGGTGATTTTAAGCATTATTATTCTTATTAAATTCTAACTGGTATGAATTTTCTTAATCTAATGTATACATTTCTATAACTTTTTACGAAATATTTTTTATAAGTTAATATTTATATTTCTTTCTGCTTTCATCATTGTATGAAAACATTACTAAGTTCGTCCACAAAAACTATGTCCGTTAATGGTTAATTTCATTTTCATCGTATTTAAAAGTACGTTGATAAATAAAAGTTTTTCTTGCCTGCTCAGTATTTTAGTATAAAAAAAGCAGAAAAGTTGGAAAATAAAATTAGCAAAAGAATATTCAATTTATAATATCTAATTTAGTATTAATATATTTTATATCAGAAATTCATTATAAATAGTTCAATAACCTAAATAATGTGCTATAATGGAAATTTAAATCAATTCGGAGCTCTTCTGAAATGGCATCGCTTCGAAACGCAAAATCCACCTGCCTTTTCACATTTCAAGTTCGGCAAATAAATTATTTGCTGCTATTTGATAGCTTCTATAGTAGTTATTATAATTGTTTTAAATGACTTGCTCAGAAAGTTGGTTTAAGAGACTAATTTGCCGTACATTTTAGCATTATCAGTTAATACCTAAATAAGAAATTTTAATTTTTCACACTATTTTATCCATATCCGAGCCATGTTCTTTTGGCTGTGGACATAACATATGTTTAAAAAAAAATTGAGTATTATATTGGTTTAAAGAAACTAAAATGGTTAATTTCTAGTAATTTTGCAAACTACAGCTAAAGGCTTGTACGGAAGTAATTACTGGCATCACATGGATGGTGGGCGTGTAACCGGTCATTTGAATATCAGTGTTCTGTTTCAACAAGCCCTCAAAATGCACAAAGGACACAAAACAACTGGGGATGAATTTTCTTTACGAATTCCCACTGGATCATTAGGAATATTCTGCAGTAGACAATATTAGCACAACCTTTAGACCATATACAACTAGTGACCGCATACCATTCGTCGCTGGCTTGTTAAGTTTCATGCAGTTAGTTCAGCATTGAAAGATCCAAATGAGTATAGACCATAATCTCTTCAGACGATCTTCTCGGAAAGACTGCAAAAGCCAACGATGAAAAGAAGATCTGGTACGACAGTTATCCCAGCTACTCCGTAGTTGAATTACGAAGAGCGTCCAAGGTGCTTTTATTGAGAAGGAATACCTTTATAAGTCCATCTTGCAGTCCATGCTCGTGTCTAGGCTACTCATATAAATCTTAATGGAAAAAGTTGCAAACTGTCCAGATTAGTGTTCTGAGGCAGATTACGGACGCACCACGGTACGTTCGTCATAATGCTATTCATGAGGATCTGCTCGGCATTTCATGCTCAGAACCTTTTACTATCATTTTGCTACAAGTTTTCATTATCGCATGAGAAATAGTAACAATACTCAACTGCGAAATTATATTTACGATTACAATATTGCAAAACGTAAGCAGCCTTAAGGCTATTCTCAGTCCTAAATTATTATGGAAGATTAATGTATTACTACTTTGCTTTCTTTTCCTACTTATGTTGTATGTTTATGTATTTTTATATGTATTTTCTATTCTACCTTTGCACTGTTGGTATGACTTTTGCACTTGTTCACCATCGAACATTGTAGCAGCTTGACGGCTTTTTGATACTTCTTCCTGTTTATCCATTTTCTAGTGCACATTTTTATGCTGGTTTAATTATTAGAGAAAAATATTAGTATAAATCTTTCTATATATAATTTTATGATAATCAATCTTTAGTTGAGATAATATTTAGATGCTGTGTATTTTTCGATTCGAGGTAGTATTCGCGTCGCCCGGGTGTTCGGGTGTCTTAAACACCATTCCACAAGAGAAGGGGGTAAAAATACAACTTCTAAGAATGTAGGGCTGGAGTTTAATCCAAATCATTAATAAATATTCCGGCTTCGTGTGCAACTGGTTACTTAAGTAATAGTTTTTGTGTATCCCTCTGAGCTCGTTTTGAGGCACAAGAAACTGCTACGAATCTCAAATAAATGTATCAAACAAATGAATGGTAATACCGGATAACATAAAATTTCTTACGGGTTGCTTTGGAATAAGCCACTTCTAAGATTGTCCATAAGAGAATGTGCATGTTTAAGAGCACGTTTCGTGCATATCATTTTCAAAAACAGAGTTTTGGTCTTAAATTTTTATACGAATAAACCTCATGAAATTTCAGAAGGTATGCATGTTTTTATTTTTATTAAAATATCTCTTAAAGTGAGGAGTCTGGGTTTCTGTTTTTTTTTTTATTATTTTTTTTTATTTTTATTTTTATTTTTATTTTATTTTATTAAGTTGTGGAAATGCATCAGTAGCGCAGAAACCGTGTCATTTCAGATGTAGATCAAAGCTTTTTCATATTTAATAATTGTTGATATTTCGTTTTTAGTTATCAACTTTATCTCATTTATACATTTTCTAAGAAACTGTTAGTTAAATTACAAATTTTGTTTAATATAATCGATAAAAAAGCATATATGCTTTGTTGTAATTTTCTAAATAGAAATCTTCGTTACTTTTATACACAATTTGATATGATTAATTGCCGATTTTAAAAAATGCGTATTTACCTCAAGAAGATGAACCCATTAAAAAGTGCAGATTTTTGAAAAACTGCATATGATTGGGTTACCCTTATTTTATTCAATTGTATTTTTATTTACTATTTATAACTTTAGTTAGTTTTCCCACTTAGAATTATCAAATAAAATGGCAACTATATCTTCATTAAGTAGATTTTGCTACATATTCTCTATTTACTATATAAAGATGAGCACTTCGCACAAAACATGAAGATATTTAAAGAATGACTTAAAACAAAGCTTTCAATTTCTAAACTCTAAAATTTCAAAATTTTTCCATTCTGTAATGAGAAAACTGCCAGGAAATATGCAGTTAAATTCAACAAACATTTAATAAACTAATTTTATTTATTTAGAGCTATCATATGTGCATTAATATTAAATTAATATGTAAATATATTAATTGCATGATACCATCCAAAAATCCAATAAGCAAGCCTCCGTGTAACACCAGAGTACTGAACAACAGCGAGCCATAAATCGACCACGGTTTCGCGACCGGCCACAGATGAGTTCGTGTATTGTAATATCGCTGTATTTCCGAACATGTCTCAAGAAAGCAAGTGACACTTAAACTAGTAAACTTTTTTGTTATGTTTGTTATGTTTCATGTTATGTTTCATATTTAAAGATCTTCATAAAATCGTTGTTTTCGAAATAAGGTTGAATTTTAATACGCTGTTACGGTACTGTAGAGTCGTATGAATCTGTAAGAGGCCTCTGTGGGGAAAATAAGTTGTTTTACAAAACATTATATTGATGGGCCCGCTTCAAAACTTTTAACTCAGTGCACAACTGAAAGATTTAGCCACAAGCTTTAAAAGTACATAAATATGTATTAATTTTGAATGTTTTCAAATAGTCAAACTAGTAGCTCTCTTATCATAAGTTAATACTTATTCTCCTTTGTGTTTTGTTTCAGGTTCAAATAATTCGAGTATTCAAAATCCCGGCAAAGATAACGAGAATCTATTTTTATACTTGAATATCTTGATTTGTATGATTTTTATTATTTGTTTTTGTTGCTTTCCGTGGTTCGAAGAGGAGGAAAATATTATCATTCATGTTACTCAAAACGCATAAAAAGACTAATAATACTGTAATACTTTTGTAATAATACTGTACTTTTTATGCATACTTATACAATGCATAAAATGACTTATGTGCTTAATGTAAATAATTGATCGTAATATTAAAATGAACGAATAAATCTATATAGCAGACTATTGTACTGAAAAATGTGCTATATTTTAGCTTACTTTTCAGTAGATTTAAATTTGACAGCCTAAAGACAACTACAAATTAAAGAAGTAAAATTAAAGAAAATGTGTTAATCTGTTAATTAATGTGTCCATATATATGCCCTGGTAGCATATATTTAGACAAATTAGGAAATGGTTTGATTATGAGTTGAAATCCTTTTAACTATTGCTGCACTTATAGTAATAAAAGAATACAGTACGCGTCGTTTATTTAACTCATTGGCGAATAAACTGAATCATATATTAAGTTCAAATTTCAATACGAATAGGTGCTTAAGAGTACAAAAACCGATTCCTATTAAACTCATCTCCTCCGCTTATTAAAACTCAAATTGACAAAAGATTGATTCTTCAGTGCCAGAATTTCCTATTTTTTATCTGTAAAAGCTTTTTCATAGTTCATTAATTAACGTACTGCGAGCCATGGCTTTATTGTTCACACATGTAATACTTAAATTAAATGGGTTTGATCGAGATTTTCCTGTACTCTGAGAAAGATTCAGTTTTTTTGTCTGAACTGGACTTCAGAGGGGCCGATTTTTTCATACTAACGTTAGCGAATACAATCCTGTCGCCCACCCCGTACAGTGGTTGGTGACCCTGACTGCCGTAGCGATGGGCTCGGGTTCGAATTCTGAAGAAGACATAGTAGTAAATGTCCTTCCCTTCATATGAGGCACTGGTGGGCACCTGTTAGGTGCTTCCATAATAAAATGGCAACCACTCCCGACCCCTTCTAGTGGAGCAAAGTTAATGGCCTTTACATAAAGCGTCCGGGGATTATAATAATAAAAAAAAAAAAAAAAAAAAAAAAAAAAAAAAAAAAAAAAAAAAAGCCAAAACAATCCTGTAGAGCAGTCATCGCCAAACCGTCGATCGCGAGCTCCTAGTAGCTCTGGGTTACCTTTTCGGTAGATCGCGTTAAAGCTCTGGTTGGCTAATCTTGATTCCTCCATTGAGCTGACGCTGAAGACAACAACTGCTTGTTTCTTCTGCGCAGCTGCCATTATCCGCATCATCGAGTCATATCGCCATTATGCCATTATCTGCCATTATCATAGTCGATTGTATACGCGTGAGATTATGCACGTTAATTTTTTTCGTGTATGTATTAGATATTAACTAATTTTGATACTTTGATTTATGCATTGGTACTAAGTTAGGATTTTTCTAATGATGGTGTGCTCAAGCAAAAAAAAACGCATCGCCTTCATTCGGAAAGGGAAACTGATTATCTCTTTACCCAGGCAATGGACAAATGTGTGTCTTTACTGTACTAAGTAAGTGTAAGGGAATGTCGAACGCCACTTCGAATCCGTTCACGCAGAGATTTAAAAGATATTCTCATGGAATTCTAAGAGTAAGGTAGCTAAAATCTAAACTTAATGCTCAACAATCAACTTTTTTAAATCCGTTAAATAAGAATAAAGTAGCAACAAAGACCTCACTCTCAGTTTTAAATATTATTGAACAGAATAAGAAACTATACAAAGAAGATGAAATAATCAAAACTGCATTTTGTGAACCTGAAAAAAATGAAAAATAAATAAATGAATGAAAAATAAGATGTTGGTGGTTAAAAAATAAAAATGAGATAACGTCTTCTATTAAATCTGTACAGTTTTCTGAAAATAGAGTAATGAGAAGAGATTATGAGTTCTGACGTTACTACACAACTTAAAAACTGACCTTGACCGCTGCAGATATTTCTCCCTGAAACTTGACGAATCGGCTGATGTAGTTAATACCGCTGAGTTGGCCGTTTTTGGAAGAATCGTTTTTTATACTAATTTCGAAATAAAAGAGGAGCTGCTAAAGTTTATATTATTAACAAGACGCAGTACAGGACAGGACACATTTTTAGCAGTTAAAGATCGTACCAACTCTGAAAATATTCCTATAAATAAGTTGGCTTAGCAACTGATGGAGCTCCTTCGATAGTAGTCAGAGGCAACGGATTCATAACCTTGTGTTGTAAAGACCACAGCTTTCCGAAATTTCTTTTTACCATTGCGTAATACACCAGAAGTCACTGTGTGTATGAAAAATGTAATGAAAGCAGCCATAAAATAATAAACAAAGTTAATGCACATGCAATTTTCGAAATGATCAAACTGTTCTACAAGGGGTAGAGCCTTGGCTCAGTCACCCTGGTGTCTCAAACACCGTTCTATAGAAATAAGAGTACATGCAATTCAGAGGCGCTTGTTTAGAGCACTAACTGATAAACAAGATTGCCAATAAAGTGATCTACTTCATACGAGAGTTCATTGGTTGAGTAGAGGGAGAGTTTTACAACGTTTTCAAGAGTTGCTTCCTGCTTTAGCAGAATTTTTGAAAGGACGATTCGAATCCTTCCATGAACTAGAAGATCCGTTTGGCTGCAAGGTTTTGCTTATCTCTCAGACGTCACGCAAAAGTTAAATACTCTTAACTTGCAACTTCAAAGTAAGGATAAAGATATTAGAAGAACAATTTAAGATGTTGCATCATTCTTAAAACAGCTAGAACTGTGGGAAAAAATATATCATCCGAGGCGAATAGAAACACTTAGTTGAAATAAAACCCTTGACAAGCAAGGGTTTTCAACGCCTTCTTAACAATACTTCGAAAATTCTTTCAGATTTGAGAAGTGAATTAAACAAACGCTTCCAAAATTTCAACGGGGGATTCCAATTGGTGACAAACATTTTGCGAAATCGCTTTTTTATAGAAACTAATGCTGAAGAGTTCTCTTCTTGTGTCTTGGGGCAGTTTGATTTTCAAGAAGAAAATGCTGCACTGGAGTTGGACTAATTGTTTTTCAAAATAGTTTACCTGTAAAATCGCTTTCTTCAAGCTCTGAAAATATTTGGCTTCTTGTTCCTGAAGAAAGATACCCAATTTTGGTACAGATTTGTCTCAAAGTGAAGGCAATGTTCAGCGCTGCATATCTGTGTGAGATATGTTTTTCAGTGCCAAATTTATTAAAAGTAAGTACAGAAACAGACACACTGATGGACATTTGAACAACTGTATTCGAATGACAGCCACTACCTACCCTCCCAGCATTAAAAAACTTGTTGATTACAGAAAAGAGTTCATTAATGTTCACAAAGTCATTAAAGTTAATAAGTCTGATTTAAAAAAAAATTTATTACATTTGTTATTTATTACTGACTACACTTTAATTTCTCTCTTATGTACATTTAAATTTCAGTGTCTTTTCTGCTACATAAATGTTTAATTAAAATTGATTTCTTATTTACTAGAAATGTAAGTTTGTAAACAATAAACAAGTTAATATATATATATTTTTTAATTTTGTAGTTCTTTTGGCTGGTAGCTCACAGTAGGATTTAAAAATGGTACGGTAGCTCAGAAGCTTTATGAGTTTGGCGACCACTACTCTAGAATAAGGGTTCCCCAAGGGCTCGTCATTGACCCTCTAAGAGTATTTAAATTTTATAGGGGTTCAGTGGGTATTTGGGGATCGATAGCCGGATATGCAATGGCAATTAATAACATAAACAAATTCTCACTGATTAAAAAAACACACTTGTATGCTATGTTCTGGATTTTAAAAGTCATACGAGAGAAATATCCCCAAATAAATGTTTTTACAAAACCAACGTTTTTATCCCACTTCCTACCTACGATAATGAGGCTGGATTCAAGACTATAATATACTATGGAAAACGAGAAATACTAGATTGAATATTTTTGAAAGAGGCAATTTAAGAGTTAAGTAATTTTATGTCAAATAGTAAAAACATTACATCCCTACACCAAGCACAGCCATCACATGAGTTAAAATCGAACTTACGTATAGTTAAAATCTGTGATTTTATTTCCGAAATCTTGTTTAAATTTGTAAAACTAAAAATAAAAACTATACAAAAATAATAGAACATAAATCTTCTAAACTATTTTTAAATTTTTTGTCCATAATTTTAATCTAATTTCCATTATTTGTATTATTATTATGCTATAAGAGTGTCAATGAACGAAATAATTATTTTAATAGAAGTCGATGCAATAAAAAGGTTGAGATGTAAGAAAATTTTAAATGAGTGAGGGTTACTTCTCGAATGTCATCAGACACAGAGGTGGAAATGCAACATCTGTACCCACACTTTCAAGGATTCCACGCTCAGAATCTTCCTATTGGGATAGACACATTATTTTCACAGTTATAAATCACAGTTTCCCATGTTCACAGTTATAAAAAAAAGTTAATGATATGCTTGTAAGCACTACCTCATATTGAAGGAAAAGGAATCTTTGGTATCTTTGAATGGAAAGGAAGTGGTAAGTGTTGACTGAAGATAAAGCAAGGAAACTTTCAGCTGGATAGAAAAGTAAATTTTAAAATTATTAAATGAAGTATTTTTTAAATTTGCTGTAAAAACTTGAAAGTTTTCATTTCTAGGACTTTTCTTTCCAATTCGGTAAATCTTAGGAGAGAATATCAGTTGGAATATGGCTCACGAGTTGGAGAAAGGTAAACCCCGCATCCTTCATGAGAAACTGCTTGGTGAGAAGAAAGAAGCTTATCAACATGCAAATAATTGGATACAAGAAGCTTTATTTGGGATACTAAATTAATACAAGGCACACGAAATTCATAACACACGAAATTGGACTGCTTTCAAGATCATCAGAACACACTTCGATAATTCAAACTGAAGCAACAGTAGATTTAAGAAACTGATTCACTAATTACTGTGTTCTTAACACTCAATATGGAACCAACAATTAATAAGACAGCATTTGTGATTCTCAAAAACAGGAAATTTCAATATTTGAAAGCTCTAACTTACCATACTTGTAGTAACAAAAATCATTGATAACCAAATAGACAATCACTGATGACAATCTTTATTAATTTTCTTTTAAAATGAGACAGCAAACTGAAAAATAAAAAATAGGTTTACTAATCAGATAACTGTGCAAAACCTACACACACCTCAGATCTCTTTTCAAAAAACCTTGACGTCTGTTCCTGAAAATA